TGTGACCACTTAAGGTCTTACCTAGGGGCTACACATATATCCCTGTCACCTCTTATTATTAGAGGTGAGTGCCTGTTCAGGTGAAACCTTAAGTTGGGGCCCAATCAGACCCTGTAGCCACAGAGCTGCAGGACCATTACAAGCATTCACCATTCATTCAGAGATTATACATTCTCATTCTAGATTCTCTGTCTATTTCCCTGGAGACCTATCTAACTTTTTCTTAGCGACCAGTGCCACCTCAGTATCCCATCAAGGCTATGAATGCAAAATCAGTGGGGTGATTAACCCCATGCTGGCTTTTCTGTCTATCTCCCCAGGAGGCCTGCCTAATTTCACTTTCTTCCATTCGGAGACTCTGGTCCTGGGTCTCATAGTCCTCTTGGCCACTAGAAAGGGATCCTGTAATCTTGCATGCTCCCCAGACCCAGAGACCTTTGGCAGGCTGAGAGATCCAAGAGTGACAGCTTTCTGGACCCATTGGGGACATGGTGAAGGAGAGATCTCACTGGGCGGGGACAATCCAGAAATGCTGATATCTTTGTGGGATAAGCACCCCAACAGCAATGAGAGTAGAGTAGAAAAGGCTCCTGAAAGGCTTTGATCCTGGGTCCCCATTTGCATTCTCATTTTATACTTAGGACTACAAGGTGGAGTGAGCAAGCAAGCAACCTTTTACAGAAATGTATGTGGCAGCCAGCAGGTTACGAGCAACGACTCATTGTTTTGATTATTTCTCCATGCCATTCTATTCCAGGGAGGAAGTGAAATCATGCTTGGCAAATAGGCAGTACAAGTAGTGCTGTAAGTGGATCACTCAATAAATCACTAGCCAATAATGGGTCTTTCTACCTTATTCTGCTTCATATTCTTCAGGTAGGATTAGGAGGAAGTGTAAGATATATAGTGGTATATCACTGGTGTGAAGAACAGGGAAGAGCGGTTCTTGCACGCTTAGAATATTCCCAAGAACACGTGTAAGAAACTCACTTGCCTGGGGGAAAGGTTACTCTGTGGCTGGGGATCCAGGTGGGAGGAGACCTTTTACTAATACTACATATATAATTCAGAGTTATGGCTATTATTATGTTTTAATTTATTATTAACATAGAGTGTGTGGTATGTATGGATGGGGTGTGTTTATGGTTCGCATGTGTGTGGAGGTCTGAGAACAACATGGTGGAGTAGGTCCTCTTTTTCGACTTTTTGGAGGATTGAGTTCAGGTCTACAGGCTTGTGTGGCAAACACTTTTACCTGATGAGCCATTCCACTGCCATGTTAATCTGTTGAATTATGAACAGCCTAAGAAACTGATGAATGCTGAAAAGAAGAAAATTTCTATTTGGACAGAGGTGGGTTATACTTGCTCTTTTAATTTTGTCTTTTACAATTTCCCCAGTAGGTGGCGCTCTGCAAACACCACACTGTTCTTGTTTTCCCTTCACTGTTTTTTGGGGGGGCCTGGTGCTAGGGAGCTGGGAAGGTAACACAGAGCCTTAAGCAAGCTTGACAAGTGCTCTATCTTACAATGCCAGCTCCTCCAAGCTTGGACTTTTATTTTATTTTGAGAAAACCCCAAAATTTCTCTGACAGTTCTTCCTCTCTGCTTGGCACCTTTGCAGATTAACTGTAGGGCTGGGAATCTGTCTATTGGGCTCTCTCCAAAACACATTGCTTTGATCCTGGGTACTGGATGGAAGGGACAACACCTGGAATGAGAAAGAAAATTTGTAATTTGGTCAGAAAACCAACTGATGTTTTCAGATATGTTTTCTTGGTTGCCACTTGTGAAGGGTTGATTGAATCAGAACTTTTGATTGGTTGATTTTAAAAAAAGTTAATAACGGTTTTTAGGTGTTTCTTTTTTCCTCTCCGTCCCCTTATTTTTCTTTTTCTTCTCTCTCTCTCTCTCTCTCTCTCTCTCTCTCTCTCTCTCTCCAGGAACTCACAGAACCACCTCTGGACTGGGGATTAAAGGTGTGCTCTACCATGCCCAGTTGTCTCTTTCTCTCTCTCAGCCAGAAACTCACAGAACCACCTCTGGACTGGGGATTAAAGGTGTGCTCTACCATGCCCAGTTTGGTCTTTAGGTCTTAATGGTAAATTTCGACTTAGAGGGGACACTGGGTAGTGTCTAACACATTTTTGTTCATCACACGGAGTGTGTGTGTGTGTGTGTGTGTGTGTGTGTGTGTGTGTGTGTGTGCGCGCGCGCGCGCGCCATCAGACAGAGACCAAGGATGTTGCTGTGATGGCCAGGAAGTCCGTCATCATAAAGAAAAACTGTGGATGTTCAGAGAACTTAATGAGGTTAAGAAGATTAATGTTCAACATCTCTGTGGCTTGAGGCTCTGTTCTCAGGATTTACAGATGCTCGAAGCATCCATGTATTCAATCAGTCCTGGTACCAGGGACTTTAGAAAAGAGATTTCACAGTCAACCATCCGCACCCCACTTCTCATCCTTATTGGACAAAGAGATGGGACAGCAGCTTGGAAGCATGCAGATCATGCAGAGGCACAGTCTCAGGGTGAATGGTGAAGAACTCACCTACTTGGAGTCGTGTTGAGCTCACTTCTTCCTCAGTTGATTTCCTTGCAGCATCCATGTATTCAATCAGTCCTGGCACCAGGGACTTTAGAAGAGAGACTCCACAGTCAACCATCTGCACCCCACTTCTCATCCTTATTGGACAAAGAGATGGGACAGCATCTTGGAAGCATGCAGATCATGCAGAGGCACAGTCTCAGGATGAATGGTGAAGAACTCACCTACTTGGAGTCGTGTTGAGCTCACTTCTTCCTCAGTTGATTTTCTTTGTGATGGATATA